TCTCTTCATAATTCTCCTACCTTGTACATGTGCATCATCAACTGTGGTTCATGTACTGATCCTCCAATTTGAGGAAAACTAACTCTTTGACCCTGTGATCTCGTGTGGGCTTCAGTCTTGTTCAGCTGATGCCTTTTGGATTGGCCTAGAAATGCCACTGAGTTGTATTCCAGGATTCACATATGGTCTTATCCTTCTACAGCTATCAAGGTGAGCTGCGTTGGATTTTGTGGGGTGTCTAACAAAGTCAATGACACGGCATGGACTGTTGAGGAGCAGTATTTTAACAGCACCCTCTCCTTGGCAGACAAAGGTAAGATCCAAAAGGGATCGTGGTGTGGGGGAAGGGAGTATATTGACTTTTCAGATGACTTGGGCTTTTTCCTCGGCTCTACCTGAGCTATTCGCCATGCATATATCGAGATGTTCAATGTCTCTTGGTCCCCTGCAGTATTTTATATATTCAGACTGTCTCTGTGTATAAGATGCAACCCAGATATGAGGTCACCATTTATGAGGTTCACCTGAACCTCCTCTCTGACACTCGGAAATATTGGAATGGCTATACCATGCAGCAGTTGCCCATGTGGCTTGCAAGCATTGCTTGTTACAGCTGAGATGGATCTCTGGTCTGCAGTGACTTTTCCCCACTACGATTTGAAATTTTGCAGCAACAACAGTTTATCGCACCCATTTTGTCACTACTCCATGTATTGTTTCTGAAAACAGCCTTTGCTTCTGGATACTCTAGAACAGGTGTTTTTTAAGAGTACAGTGGCACAACCCCAAGGCAAAGTGTGGTGTTATGTTAGCAGTTCAGTCAAAAGCAGCTTTGCCCCAGAGGTGCTGAAATGATTGCAAGCCGTTCAAGGCTTTTCTTCCTTGTGTACGGAAGTCCCTCCCTGCAAGAGGAAATGCCTGTTTTACTGGCACCTGGCACGTACTCCTGCCACATGGCAAAGTAACACTGGCATGCTCTGGGGAATTTTAGGACTGAATGCTGCCTTTCATTTGGTAAGTAGGCTGATACACCCACAAATAATGCATGCTGTATCCAGGCCTCCCATTGAAACCAAGAGGTACCAGTACTTACTTGCCAGAGGTACCAGTATTTACTTGCCAGGTGCGTTTTTGTAGTAACTGCAGAGTGTTAGGGAACCAAACTGTATTAGATGTTTCATGTAATAGTAGGGAATTGGTGGGAGCTAGTAAAGCTGCAGTGACTGCTGCTGCTTAGTCAGCAGTCTGCGGGCACAGCTATTAGCATGTGCTGGTGATGGGCCAGCTTCATCCTTGCAGTGTGGCTAACATCGCTACATTGCACACAACAAAACGGAGAGGAACCTTTGGGGTTGGGTGTAATATCAGCACCCAGCTGGGGAGGAGTCTGGGAGAGATGTAGGAAGAGATATGAGGCTCAATCCATGCAGCATGAGAAGAATAGGAAATGCTTCCATCTCTCTTTGGAAATGACACAGATTGGCTGTGTCCCCACATCCAGGGGCAAGTAGTTGCTGGGGGGAGGAAGCAGTGCCACAAACTTTATGCTGCTTTTTTTTTTTTTTCTTGTACATTGTGTTCAGTATGGAGAAAAATCCTCTGGGTGGGGTAGAGGAGATGCTAGCACCTGGGCTGGCCCCAGCAACCTTACCTGGGGGCTCCAGCAGCGGTGATCTGGGTGCACAGAGCCTGCTGGCAACTGGAGCGTGGCTCTGGCCGGCCAGGCTCTGGCTGCAGGTGGTACACACTGCAACCACATGCATTGTCCCCCTTTTTTCTAGTGCAGGGTTTTTAACACCTATGGGAATCGTAGCATGCAACACAACAGTGAATAGTCGCATGGCAAAATCCACAGAGGCTTTTTAAAGCACTCCAGGTGACAGAGCTCTAGATGAGTATAGAGCTCAAAGCTGTGTGCTTTGGATTGCAGAGGTTTAGCTGGCTAAAACTGAGCAACTGCTTCATTTTTTTTTAAAAGCAGTTGCAAGTTTAAAATTGAGTACTAAGCTCTCTTGCTAGTAGTTTGCCGTGAGGAGCCTTTGTCTGAATGACTGCCTCTCTCTCGTACTGGCAGAGCTTAACCGTGTCTCCCCCTCTGACAAAG